CCCCAAAACCCCAAAACCCCAAAATTAGGATGATATATTAAAGGATTTGTAAATAATAATAATTGAGACATTTTATAATAAAAATTCACATTAAATTAAATGACATATGTTTTAACAAACTTGACCATTGTTCACATAGTTTTTACATTCCTAGAGACTATCGCATTGATAGTTTTCATATACTTTGTGACAAAATATACTCGGAGATTTAAGGAATCAAGAGACCCTTACACGATAGCTTGCTTTGCTTTTATAATATTTGCGATTGGAGTCAAACTAATTTTAAAATACTACTAATTACTGCCACTTCCTTGTGATTAGGAAGATGATTGCTAAAGTAGATAAGAAATTATATTTTGCACAAGTTAAGTATCTTATTACTTACCTACTGGTTTATTGACAATTGCTATTCTTATAAATGTGGTTAGATGGTAGTTATTAATAAGTTAATAAAAGGAAACTAACAGAAGGACCTCTTCAAAGGAACAAGATGAAATAAGCAAAATGAGTCTAATGCGAATTGAACGTAAAAGAGCCTCGAAGGAACGTAATCTAAATCTTTTCTTAATTGGTCTATCCTTTTTTGCTATTGTAATTACTATTTTCAAGATTATGTTCAATTGTGAACCAAGCCTATAAACTGGAGATCTGTATAAAATAGAGAATTTTATCTTCTTATTTATGCTATTTTTCATAAACTCTTATTGCATAGCTGTATATCTATATGCCTAGAGATTTTTTTCAAACTACTTTCAGAAGCAAATCAATAATAACTAGGATATAATTGACCAATATTAGATAAATGAGATGAAAAGATCAATGAAATTTTTGAAAATATTTATGTTTACAGTTTGCGCAACCATGCTTATTAGATATGTCGTCAATGTGATTTACGATCTAGACTACAGTTTTAAACTTATTGAAATTTAAACAGGTTCGCTCTTGTGTATCACGATATTAATATACATAACTGAGATATCTCTAATAATCATGATGTCCTAGTCAATTAAGGAAACAACCAAGTCTTAGAGAAGAAAATATTCATATCTTTCAACAGGAACTCCAGCATAAATACTCACTCCAGACTAGTAATCAAGAGACTTTGCAGCTTTGGATGATTCAACTAATGGAGATATCTTAAAAGAAATTGAATAAAATCTTCTTTGAATCAATGCTTTCCAAGTTCTTGAAAACAACTCTCAAAAGAGTATTCACAAACTACAAGGATCTCTTGCATACCTTAGCAACAATGACCGTTCGCTTTTAAATTTGAATGATTCTATGCTCTAGTAGTACTAAGAATCTTAGATCAATTAGAGGATTCAGTTCTAGGACCAAATAGATCCAAGAAGAAAAACCTCTTTGAGCGCAAAAGTTAAAAATATCAAACTAATATGATAAAGCGCTATGTAAAGTATTCTATGATTATCATCTATATTAATAAAAGATTATTTTTTTAATTAACCTAAATTTCACTAATATAATTAAAAAAGTAATTTTTTTGGAATTGGGGTTTTGGGGTTTTGGGGT